GACCAATCACAGCGCATGTACCTGAGAAAGCACATTGTCCGGGCTCCAAATAAAGTCAGTGTGCACATATAGACATCTACTCGCCTCTCACACCACATGCGTGTAACCAGCTGCTTCCACTGTCCAGATGCATCATGGGTAATCCTCCATAACACGCCCCAAGCATTCTTCCCACTGACCCCCAATGTAAGGAGCATTCTTCCCCCTGACCCCCAATGTAAGGAGCATGCCCCCCACTGACCCCCAATGTAAGGGACATTCTTCCCACTGACCCCCCATGTAAGGAGCATTCCCCCCACTGACCCCCAATGTAAGGGACATTCTTCCCACTGACCCCCCATGTAAGGAGCATTCCCCCCACTGACCCCCAATGTAAGGGACATTCTTCCCACTGACCCCCCATGTAAGGAGCATTCCCCCCACTGACCCCCAATGTAAGGGACATTCTTCCCACTGACCCCCCATGTAAGGAGCATTCCCCCCACTGACCCCCAATGTAAGGGACATTCTTCCCACTGACCCCCCATGTAAGGAGCATTCCCCCCACTGACCCCCAATGTAAGGGACATTCTTCCCACTGACCCCCCATGTAAGGAGCATTCCCCCCACTGACCCCCAATGTAAGGGACATTCTTCCCACTGACCCCCCATGTAAGGAGCATTCCCCCCACTGACCCCCAATGTAAGGGACATTCTTCCCACTGACCCCCCATGTAAGGAGCATTCCCCCCACTGACCCCCAATGTAAGGGACATTCTTCCCACTGACCCCCCATGTAAGGAGCATTCCCCCCACTGACCCCCAATGTAAGGGACATTCTTCCCACTGACCCCCCATGTAAGGAGCATTCCCCCCACTGACCCCCAATGTAAGGGACATTCTTCCCACTGACCCCCCATGTAAGGAGCATTCCCCCCACTGACCCCCAATGTAAGGGACATTCTTCCCACTGACCCCCCATGTAAGGAGCATTCCCCCCACTGACCCCCAATGTAAGGGACATTCTTCCCACTGACCCCCCATGTAAGGAGCATTCCCCCCACTGACCCCCAATGTAAGGGACATTCTTCCCACTGACCCCCCATGTAAGGAGCATTCCCCCCACTGACCCCCAATGTAAGGGACATTCTTCCCACTGACCCCCCATGTAAGGAGCATTCCCCCCACTGACCCCCAATGTAAGGGACATTCTTCCCACTGACCCCCCATGTAAGGAGCATTCCCCCCACTGACCCCCAATGTAAGGGACATTCTTCCCACTGACCCCCCATGTAAGGAGCATTCCCCCCACTGACCCCCAATGTAAGGAGCATTCTTCCCACTGATCCCCAATGTTTAATGTCTGCTTTTCTTTTATGGTTGTTATAATTTCTATATCACTGAATACATTTTCATACATTGTATCCTTAATGCCAAATCTACTAAGCGGGTCACACTCCTTATTCTTCCATCTCCCCTTGGGGCTGACACTAATGTGCCACGAGTTGTAGATATATTAAACTACTAGTGGGGGTTGTAAGTCATTTAAAGGGCCCCTCTGTGGAAAAACCACTGGAGACATTTATTCCGATCTCCCGGAACTCCCCACATCCGGCCTCGTCACTGAACCAATGATCGGATCATCGGGTGACAATGTGACGGCGTTTGTACGGCGCGCGGTGCTGCTGATCCTGGCGTGGCCATCTCTCGGAGCGTGGCCCTGACCCCGGAAGCAAATCCGCCAAGACTTCCAAGAATCCCTGCGCCCGAGCCACGCGTCACCGGAAAAGAACGAGCCGATTGCAGAGAGAGAGACTGTTTACAGCACATTGAGGACCATTCCGCCACGGCTAAAAATATTTCATGTAATCTGACGGCCGCCAAACACATAAACATTGTTGCCGAATATCGTACAGAGAATTCTGAGATTAAAGAACCCGAAAAATAAAATCTGTCCCGATAAAGGAGCCAAAACGTGTCCTGACCCCCCTCAGCCTCCACAACCAATACATAGAGGAGGCCTCAGATAAGGGTTTCCGCTATAGACTCCCCAGGGAGGCCAGATCCAATCCTATACATCCTCCTGGCACCCTGGGACTGCTTGCCTTACATCCTCCTGGCACCCGGGGACTGCTTGCCTTACATCCTCCTGGCACCTGGGGACTGCTTGCCTTACATCCTCCTGGCACCCGGGGACTGCTTGCCTTACATCCTCCTGGCACCCACACTGCGTTATGTCAGAATCGGTTGAATATTGCCCCCCTCTATGACGTCCATTGAAGGATTTGGGGCGTCATGGGGACATGGTCGTGTCGGGTCAGTACTGGTTAATCGGTCTCGGTTTGGGGCGACAGCCGAGGATTCTCGGAGATCTCCTATAGACCCGTCTTATCTATACAATGTATCGGGACGCATCACCTTCATAACACAAATCTTATCGTCTCGGAGAGAACGGCGGCGACATAAGACGCGAGAAGTGGAAGTCATTGGAAGCGGATCAGCAGATAAGATATGGACGACTCTGGGCACCCGGCGAGGGAACAATGGCCGCCACCACGCTGCGTCCTGACACGGCCCTGTACAGCTGGGTCACCGGTATGCATAGCACAGACGCAGGAAACAACAAATCACGCGCGCTGCAACGCCTCTGACATCACCAACAGCGAGGAAATGGGGGACAGAAAATGTAAACGGACGCCGGGGGGGCTGAACACACTGAGCATGGACGGGGAAATCTCCCTTCCTCACCAGTCTATGGTATTCGGACAGCGGCGGAGGGTGTGCAGGCGATTGGCGGCATTCACTGTCCGGACGAGATTTCGGACCGGCTCCTTCCACAAAAAGCGACTGGAAATTGGACTGGTGGAAGGACGGGGAGGCCACATGTGGGCCGAGTCCTGCTGACTTTTGACTGTTGTATGGCCAGCTTAGAAGGGGAATTCCCCTCGCTTTCTCACTTCCTGTTGCATCCCCAAGACAGGAAGTGAAGGAAAATCTTTCCAGCAGGACACAGGCAGCAAAACGTATACATGCATGAGAAGGACTAGTGGTAATAATAATAACTGGCAATGAAAAAGGTGGTCTCATTAATCAGGCTGACTTGCTTCAGGCTGCCTGACAGGGGCCCATTATTTCCCAGTACAGGTTTATGTAGAAGGGCCCATAACAGGTCCGTGTAGTAGCATTGTAGCATGTGGGGGGCCCCTGTCATCAACCTGAGCATAACGTGCTGACCCCGGGGT